AACTTTTGAAACACCCGGTATATATATATATACTCTTATATTTCAATTAAATCTAAATTTTATTTAGATATAAAAAGGAAAAATTATAAATCGTTCAGATGAAAAAGGAGATGAAAAATCGTGTTTATGGGCCAAATTCAAGGTTACTTTTGTTTTTTATTCTTTATTTATTTATTTGGTTTAGGAAAAAATTGATATTCGTGAAATAAGATCATATATGAACGTTCTAAAACGTTCAGAGAATATTAATAGAATGTCTATTAATCCGGTTTTAGTTAATAGTCCAATAGAAGGTTTTGATAGAAAGCAAAAACTACCTTCAACTTCAACTATTTATTTAAATCAAGAACATATACTTCAATTTGATTTGAATCAACATCGAATTACATTTAAATGTCTATTGTATATATTATAAAAGTCTCTTATTATATCATACGTTGGAATGCATAAGGTAAAGGTGATTTGATACATTTAAATATTATTCAATCGCGTGATGTCACATTATTGATGATACTAAACGAAAGATTCTAATCTATAATAATAGATTAGAACCAGTTTTTTTAAAGTAAATAAATAATAAATTAATAACAATTGAATTTATTTCAAATAATTTTTTAAAATAGATCTCTCATATGAATTTCAAGTTACAATTCGTCAACAATCATTATTACCTATTCAAATTTGGGATCGGGAGATCTAACACAACGTTTAGATGATAATCAAATAGCTGAAACAAGTATTCATATTAAACAATCGTTCGTTTTCATATCATAGAGCGCAACATGTGCTGGTTTTTACAATAAACAATACGATACGATACGATAGATCAATTAATCATTTAGATTTTTCCAACAAACAAAAAAGAGCTGCTGTTATTTGACAAGAATTATGTCGAACGGCAAATTTAAATTAACCTGTTTATGCACCAGATTGTTGTTGATTAGTTATTGGAGATATACCTTTTTATTGTTATCCAGAATGTGTATTCAATTTATAAAGTATGGAAAAGCAAATGATCTTTTACATCGTAAAGTTCATCATCAATCACCAGATGAATATATTCGACAAAATATAACATTCGCTGCACTTCATGGATCGGCAATTAAAATAAATTCAGTAAGAAGACAAGGTTTTAAAGAGTTTTTAAGACAAAATTTTAATTAAAATTAATATAGAAAGATGTCTTAGTATCTTAACATATAGAATGTCGATCACAA